TGAGTGGGGCCCAAGTCTCCAGATTAGATGAGCCAGGTTTGGGAAGCCCAGGGAGGCTGTGCCTGCCCACGCAGCTTGCTGCTCACGAGGCCCTCTGGACCTTGGGCACCCTGGACCTGACCCCCAGCAGGCCACACGGAAGGTGGCCACAAAGAGGCCATGAAACCTGTCTTGGTTACTGAGAAGAGCCACCCAGGGAAAATAATCATGTTTTGACATCTAGGAGCAGAGGAAATAAAAGGTACAACCAGTTAAGTGCTCCTCTGAGGTCCCTGTACAGAGGAAAGCACTTGCGGTCAGGCCAAAGCCCTCTCAGCACAGGAATCCAGTCTGCATCCTCTTGAAGCCCTTCCAGCTGGCCACACTTGAAGAGTCTGCCCAGCCCAAAAGAGAGGCTGGCTTTGCAGGTCAGCACTAGAAGAGGGAGGCCAGTGTCCCTCTCCAGAGACCCACCAACTCGGAACTAACCAACTACCACTTATTTGCATGGGCAGCCACAGAGCAGGGATGGCTATATAATTTTTTTCAAGGTAAAAACAAAATTTTTTTTTAATCAAAATGTGTGTGCCATCACCTACCTTTTAGGGCTTTGAATCTACTCAGTGTCAAGAAAAAGCCATGTGCTGCTCCCATGGCAGTTCGTGGAGGTGGCCACATAGCAGCTGCAGATCTGAGTGCCCTGTCTGCTCTGGCAGTCTAAGGGCCAAGGTAAAAAGAGCGTGTGTGCCAGCCCCGGGGGCTCTGCAGGGCACCACGCCCCTGGAGGAGGCCCTGAGCCAGGCTTGTCATCTCAGAAGCGGCAGGAAAGTGAACCACGTGGGCCAACTCTGCCTCCTGCCACTCACCCTTACCTGCTTGTCACCTCTGGCTCTGTAGCATCTGGAGATGGAGGTGCCAGCGTGCTGCTCAAAACAGCAGCCTCTGTCCAGAGGGAGTAAGGGGGCTTTACAGCAGGAGGATACAAATGGCTAATTCCTCCCACTCCACGCAGAGTGTCGCTAACACCCACTCCTGCTTGCTCAGCTCTTGAAGCACTGGGCTCAGGGCTGGCATCTACAGGACAGCCCCAACAGGCATCACAAACCTGCAGCCACGGTTCCAGGTTAGGGGCAGGGACCATGAGAAATCTATCTAGGAAAAGAGCTCCTACAGAGGCCTGCCAGTCACCCTCAGCTTGCTCCAATGGTGGGCTGGGTGGCTGCAGAGCACCAGAGGCCACACGCTAAGCTGGCAGTGTGGCTGACTTTAGAGTGTCAGCATTCTCAGTAAGCAGGGATGGCTCAGTTGAAAGTCAATCAGAGTCCTTCCCCGGACTAGAGTCAGCATGGACAAGGGTCACGTAAAACAGTATCTCTGGCCTCCAATACACAGTTCCTTTAATAAGCTTCTAATTATGAGAAACAGTATCAACATTAAGAGGTAGTGATTTCTAAGGCTGTTTGTTTCATATACATTAACAAGGCCCTTAATTTTACAGCATTTAAAAGTTTTTCTTGGTTCACTGACATTTTTTAAAGCTTAGATATGAAAATAACTATTGAAAATTATCTGCATTTACAATGCATTCACATGTTTATTTAATGTCAACATACAGAGGACAACCCCCAAGTACTTCAGAAGGTCAAGTGTGAAGGTAAATCTCTTTAGCTGTGACAGTGACAAGGGAACAGCTAAAAAACAAAGCAGTGAAACAGAAACATGATTTTCTTAAAATTATAAAGTAACAATTCTGATATTCAAGCTTCATTAATTATTGCAACAGTTAAGAACTTAATTTACTAATATATGTTAGGAAGGCTCTTTTTTTTCCCCAAATTTATTCAAGTTGTCAAGAAATTAGATAAAAATGTAAAAAATAAATACATGTGAATTTTACTTTTGATTTTCACTAAAGGTAAATATCCATACAATTTTACAGTGTCACCTGATGACAATCTTTAATAAATCCAGGTATACAGAAATTTAAAAGGCAGGAGTTTCCTTTTACACTTTTAAACTTGAGAAACAGCAATTTAACTGTGACACAAAGTTCATGTAACAGATGCAGCAATAAATTAAAAAATGAGCATCAGTGGGATAGTCTCCCTCCATTAGAAGGGCATGCTCTTACAGTGCTGAGCTCGGATTTGAGTTTCAAAGTTGACCATCCAACACAAAGTGCTTCTACAAAGCCAGCCCCAGGCTTCACTCTCACCAGTCTGAGGTCGCCTCTCTCTGGGACATCACTGGGGCACTGTGATGAGCACCTTGTTAACCTGAACCAACAAGCAGTGTGGGTCCAGCCACTCGGGTCAAAAGGCACACTCTGCACAAGGAAGGGACCCGGCTGCTGGCTCCCCTGGGCTCTCAGGATGGGGGCCAGAGCAGCCTTCACCAGTCACCCAGAGCAGGGCAGGAGCACATCTCTGGGTCACTTGCTGGCCTACACCTGCAGGCTGAGCCTCTCCCCACCTGCAGACACATCTGCCATAGTTCTGTGACTGGCACTCAGAGCACCTGCTTCTCCTCGCTCCCAGGTATTCTGTGGGCCCAGCCCCTCCAACAGCACGTGACACTGCATGCCATGCATCTTTCACACGAAAAGCCAATGCTGACCTGTCTCCCCTTCCCTGGACAATCAGGGTTTTTCCCAGCCTGACATTTTCCTCACTTCGAGCTTGCTCCACAAAGAGGGAAAACCTCCCTCCAGGCAAGAGGTGACAAAGGCCCTCCCTGCACACTGCAGACTCAGGGTGAGGCCTTTTCACCAGTTTCAGCATTGAGTCTAACATTTCAAAGTTTCTTAAAAATTCCAAATCTACCACAGGATATGACAGGATCATATCCTGTGGTAGAGAGAAATGGCTGCCTGGCTATTTGCCAGCTAGGACTTGGGTGTTGGCTTAAGCCAAGAGCTAGAGACAACTATGAAACCCAACCCGGGATGTGTGCATATACCCATAAACACTGTTCCTCAAGATTTCTGAGTGTCTTTGGGATGATAATTGTTGCAGCTTCTGTCTGTCTCTCCATGCTTTGAGGTTTTCTATCTTAAAGCATCCATCTTTAGTCTTGAGTCAGGGGCTCACAGGAAAAACCCTTCCACACACTTGCTCAATTAGCACAAAAGACAAGCTTAGGGTTCTTTTTTCTACAGTATTTGGGGATTGAACCCAGACCTTCGAACACACTAGGCAAATGCTCAACACCTGAGTTACATCCTAGCACCATCCCCCTTTTAAAAAGTATTTTCATTTGAGACAGGGTCTTTGTTGCTCAGGTTTACCTCAAGCTTGCCATCCTCCTGCCTTAGCCTCAGACACCCCTTGGTAAGTAGGATAACAGGTATGCGCCCCCATTCCTGGCAAACTTAGGGTTCTTTACCACTATTTATTTAAGCAAAATTGGAACCCAAAGTTCCTGGCACTCTCTTAAGTGTCTGCCTACTCCCTCTTGCGCATCTGCTTTTAAAAGAAGGTACAGCTCTCCCAAGGCCCATCTCCAGGCCTCTTGGGGATGTGGTCTCCCCGCTGAGTAAGGAGGCTGTCTGGAGGGGCTGGGGCTGCCTCACCAAAACCACAACAAAGCTGGCTCCTGGAGCTGCTTGTGGGTCTGAAGAAGGTGAGCGGAGCACTGCCTAGGCATGGAGCCTCCAAGGACATTGGATGCTGTGCAGGGACAGCCGCCCTCACTGGGCCAGAGCAAGCCTCCTTCCCAGTGGCCTGGTGTGGACTACAAGGTTCAGCCCAAGCCTGACAAGCAGTGCTGACCAAGTGGTAACAACCTTCCCTTTGCTAAAAGCTGTGTTTTATTCAGAGGTGAGGTTAGAAAAGTTATCCTTGCTCCTAATAACGTTCACACTGAAAAACTTTAATGAGGAAGCTCAAAGTTTGGTAAGAAACTACAAAAATGCTCTCCAAATTTCTCATAGTGGAAGCAATTAGCTCTGCAGCTCATACTCAGGAGCCCTGCTTGCCCCTCCTCGTCCCCTCCCTTCCTGGGAAGGGGAGCCACACCCACTGCACCTGGGTCCTCTTCTGGAGCTGCAGCACCTTCCCTTCTGGTCCTGGAGAACACCAGGCCTCTGTCCTCCTGCCTGCAGAGGGGCTCTGCCAGCTCTCACAGCAAGAGGCAAGGGGCAGTCAGAGCACAGGGTGAGGGCAGGGCAGCCTGGGGCTGACACTAATCTGCACTGGTCCCTGGACCTGGCATTGGAGCCTTGATGAGGGGGCTCCAGACGGACACTAAGGATACTATAATCAGCAGCAGAAACTGGACGAAAGAGCTGGAAGCCCAGAGGCGCGAGCACATACACAGGCTTCTATCAGGACGTCTAAGGAAACAATGCTCTTCTGCCTCCCCATCCCTCCCCCACCCTACCAGCATGCTGAAGCCAGTGCAACTGGGAAAACTAAGGGGGCAGCATGTTAGAAAGTGTCTGCCTGCAGCTCTCCAGCCAGTGACTGCAAGTTTCACCATAAATGCTACTTACCTGTGACCGGCCACTCTATTCAGGCCAAATACAGTCCTGAGTTTTGAAACTGCATACTCAAGGCCTCAGCAGCATTTGAAAGTGAATTTCTAGAACTATATTGGGACATGAAATTGCACCTAGAATATTCATTACTAGCCCCCCTCACAGGCAGCCCAATTTGACCCCCAAAGCTTAAACAGTCTCAAAGATGCTATCTTTGCTACCTTAGATCAGTTAACCTTTAGGAACAAAGGACACATATTCAAGGTAAACAGGACATTCCCATTCCCATGAAGTGCCGCTCAAGGTCGTGAAGTCCATCAACATAGGTGAGATGCCCTGAAAGGCTGCCATGGCACACTGTCACTGCCACCACACTGAACAACAGTCATTTGCAGTAAGGAGCATGTTTGTGATGGGGACATGGATTGGAACATGGCATGACAAGAAGTGGGAAGCAGGCCTGGGTTGGCCTGGGCCTGGCTCTCCGGGGAGAGCTGTGGTAAGAGCAGGGAGCTGCTGCTCCATCTACCAGAGTTTTGACACATAAGAGAAAGGAAGCCGCCAGGTCTTCTCTTTAATGAGCCACATTCACTACTCAAACGGGTATAAATTATCATTATTACTATATTTAATTACAAAAGTGGGTGAAATAGAAAAACAATCCTCAATACTCCAAATAAGTTAACAAATAAAATAACTATCATCTTGACACAAAACACAGAGCTCAAACAACCACCTCATCCACCATGAAAACTGGAATTTGAAAAGAAGCTCCTTATGCAGCTGAGAAGGGCCATAAGGAACTGGAATCAAATTCGGCAGTTTCCCATAGAATCTGCATAGCCTTTCCACCACAGAGGGAGCCAACACAGGCCCAGAAGCCTGGCGCTCAAGGGGGAAGCACAAGCACTAGGCCGGCATTGGCATCCCAAGCGTCATCACAGATTCACAACTCCCAATAAGCAAAAGGGAAAGCTGCACCTGTGATTCCCCTCTTCGGGGGAAACTAAACCCTCCCAAGTGCCCTGTGGGGAGGTACTGTGCAGCCCAGGGAGCTTAATGGTGAAACAGAGCCATGGAGCCTGCCCACCGCCTACAGTCATGCCTTACTGACCCCCAAAAACAGACAAAAAAAAAAAAAAAAAACCCAAAACCTCCTTTTTCCCTTCTTGGGAAAAAAACATAAGCCAAGCACATCTGACATGAAAGTCTTGGCTTATGTGGCAAGAGGCACTTCTGACAACAGCTGCTGGTGTGCTCAGCTGCAGCGCATGCTAACTGTCCAGGCTCTGGGTCAAGTGGAGATTTAATGCACAGAGTCTCAATCAGAGTTCTACAAACTGCTTCTTTGGAAAAAGATGTTTATTAAACAATTTTAATTGTCATAAAATGACTAAAATGGGTTTTAAAAATTAAGGCTCTTCTCTTTCTGTGGATTGCCAGAACAATGTAAAAATAATATCAATCAACCCTGCTGAACGCTTTGTTCCTAAAGTTAAATTTCATAGATTCCTAAACATTTTATGATTAAGATAAAAAATTGGATATAAATGACAATTAATGGCCATCTGTACTGAACACACACTCTGATCAGGTGTACAACAGTCTAGTTGAGTAGTTGAGCAAAAATATTCCAGTTAAAGCATCAATTTTAGCATTTTAAAGTCATTGTCCCCTCCCCACTGTCATGATTTCCCTAAATTGAAATAGTCTGATACAGGAGTGCTAATCTTGGGGCTCTATATACTCCCAGAAGGATGACTGACTCAGCTGGCAATTAGTTTGATTATATATTTTTTAAATGCGCTAAGGTGAATTATCAAATGATTCAGAATTACATGGCATGCAGTATCCAAAATTATGGCTCTGATGCATTTAGATTTACATTAAGAATAAGAAGTGTCATTCACATTCATTGTACATCCCGCCCCTCCCACAAAAAAAAAAAAATCACTACCTATTCAAGTTCTAGATCTGGTGCAGCATTAAGGATTAAAACTTACCACTTTACCAGGCCTTCCCCATGTGCAAATAAATCCCTCCTGACAAGCAGTGACTATACAGTCTTCAAGAAAAATTAATACAGTCAGTCTTTCATGTGCTATCTTTTTACAGATCAGAGGCTCTAACAAGGGAACGTCTTCCATCCGAGGACACAATGGCGTTCCCAAAGTTTTAGCGGGGTCCGTTTTGGTTTTAGTAACTAGATTCAGTTTGTCACTGCTCTTGCTAGAAATGTGTCCCATGCTATGGTTTCGCTTGTGGTCTTTCTCGTGATGTCTCTCCTTTCGGTCGTGCAGTGAGAGTGTTGCGAATTTGCTGACCCCAGAGGCAATGGCCCCATCCATGACGCTGCTTTTGCTGCCTGCATTGGAGACCGCCGAGTGGGGAAGGCTGTTGGACCGAGGCAGCGGAGGGGGCACAGAGTTCCCGGGTGTTGTGACACTGTTCCCATTACTTCCAGCGGGAGGACTTGTGGCATTCATGACATTTGTGTGTGTCCTTGCTCTTGAGAGGGGTTGGTGAGGGAAAAGGATGTCTTCCGTAAGGTCCCACAAACACAGCTGTGTATCCTGGCCCACTGAACCAAACCGGTACGTAACACTTACGGGGCGGCTGTCGGTAGAGTTCCGCTTGGACAGCCGGGACTGTGTACTGTTTGCTCGATCTCTGCCAAAATGAAGAAGGTCCTGGAAGTCCTCATCACTGCCACTAAACTCCATAGGGTCGCTTTCTTCTACGCTAGTAGTATAGGGATCGAATGCCACAACACTGACCCAGGATTTGTGCCCGTGGCCTCTAGCTATTACTCGACAGTCTACAAAGGACCAGACTGTCACCAAGTCGTCCTCTCCACCTGTCACAATGTACTTGCCATCTGGGCTCCAGCACACACACAGCAAGCCCCCAAAGTAGCTTTTCATCGTACCGTGCAGCTCCACCGAGTCGAAATTGAACACCCGCAGAAACCCGTCCTGGCTCACGCATGCTAAGAACTTGCCATCTGGGGAGAAAGCAAACTCGCTGAGGGCCCCCTCGCCCACCGTCCACTTAAGGAGAGGGTTCCTCGTGGATTTGCTCTTGCAAGTGTGCACGGCAAAGCTCTCTCCCTGCTTCAGAAGCTGGTAGTGGGGGGCTGTGGTGCCACAAGTGTGCTCCACATTATACAAGTACATGTTCCCACTCGAATGGGCTACTAGGAAAAGGCTTTCCGAACCGGGCACCCATTTGACACAGGTTACGCGTGCCTTGTCTATTAGTCTCTGTGAAGACAAAGGAGAACAGGTTATCACAAGGGAGAAGGTGCAAAGGTCTACTTTTCCAGCAAGAAAACTTGTTGCTTCTCGGTGAGAAGGAAGGAGTCCGTCCAGGCACGCCACATTTATCCCGTGGTCAGCCAGCCAGCGAGAGCACTGGCCCATTGCAGAACTACTTTCTAGAATTGCACTTGGGTGGTGGCCACTGGCTTTCACTGAGGGAGTCAGCCATTCAACAAATATCTGCTGAGAGCCTACTCTGTGCCAGACCCCAGGCCGGGCACTGGGCACACGGGTGAGAGGCAGCCCTCAGACACCTCCTCACGTCCAGCAGGAGCATGTCAACCTGTGACTCAGCAGCTACACGCAGCTCCCTCTCGTGAGGACTCATAGCTGAGAAAGCCATGCCTCCCGGCTTTCTCTGCATTTCCTGTTACTGCAGGCCACATGCTGACTACATGTGACCCTCTGCTGCGGCTGCTCGAAGGCGGGGAGTCAAATCTGCAGCCCGCTGCCAGCAGCACACAGGACTTGAAAGCACACTTGCTGGGCGCAATGCAGCGCCGGGCCCACTGAGGTCGCCCCACTTGCACACGCTGCCCGTGTGTCATCTTTTATATGCATTTCCTCAGAGTCCTCTTTGGAACGAGGTGGTGTTTAAAGAAATACCTAGATGGTCAACTCAGGAGTCTGCGCTCCGTCACTATCACTCAACTCCACGCTCACTTCTGGTCCACTGACCTAGTCGCTTCTTTAACAGGCATGAATCAGTAGTCGTGCCTTTAAGACCAAAAGAACAGAAGGCAGAAAGTGAAAACACCCAAATGCAAAACAAGGACCCTTGGCTTGCAGGCTTTGTTATGGGGACCACTGCAGGCACAGAAGCTTCCAAATGATTCTTCCCTAGGCTGCCTAGTCTCTAAATCGTGTCACCAGAAATCACCCAAGTTCTGCCTGGGAACGCCTGCTGCCAAATGCTCTCCACTGTCCCACTGCCCTGTAAGAGGCTTAACTGCTACCACTTTGCCTAATTGAGTGGACCCTGTCAAAAAAAACATGGAGCCTGCAGCCTAGCTGGCTCGACTATGTGCCCGCTTCTTTACAGAAAATTATTAAATGAAAATTTGATTATTAAAAGGATGGGAAAGAGTTCATGAGCCATGCAAGCTCAATGTATGAAAACCAGACCTCAGAAGGTGGGCTGCCAACAAATGACGCCAAATTGGGAAGGGGAGGTGGGTGCCCTGAACAGCATGCAGGCCTGAGGGGCTTGGGTTCCATGGGTCAGTTGCAGATTATTTTACAGAAGGTGTCACTGCTGACTGCCACAGAATGTCATAGCTGGACCTCTTAAATTAATAAGCTCTGTCCTTGGGGACACAGCCAACATTTTCATCCTCGCCTTTCTTTCTTGCCTGCTGACCTACCTATAAAAGGCACCTGACCTATGTTAGCGCCAACAACCTAAAAACCTAGCACTGCTCTGGCAGGATTTCCATTACACCTTCACCATTTCTTCAGCAAGAAGGTTAGGCAGGTAATATGCATGGCCAAACCAGATGGGGCAGGGAGAGTGGTCTGGGGAGTGTACAAGTGTTGATAGTGGGCTAAGAAGAGGCCCCCCCACATCCAATGGTGCTCTGCCAGGCTTGCTGTTTATGTCCTTGCTATGTCCAGCGCCAGGACTCACTTCTGAGCCCACAGACAGGACAGTGAGATGGCCCAGTGTCTAAGGGCATCCACAGCTCACCCTTATCAGGGTTTAACAAGCTAACTTGGGCTGAAGTCAGACTGCCACCCTTATCCTAGTATAGCATTCTCAACTCTTGCACCTTCCCTTTCAGCAAAACCCTACCAAATCCCAATTTTTCCAAGATCACTTCACTGTTATTCTATTTACCATTTGCAGAAAATTTTAAATACATAAAAACTCATAGCAGTATGGTTAGGATAAATTTTACTTTGCACCTTAAAAAAGGTACAACAACAAAAAAATTCCATTAGAATTCAAAAACTATAATCCTGTCAAGCAAAAATAGTAATTGCTCCATAATGGTGGAGTATGAAGATAAACAGTTACAACACTTATTAAAATAAATGTTGTTGCAATGAAAAAACACATTTAAAAACTTCATTCTCACATTAAAAAGCTGCACTGAGTCTACCCTACATAGACATGCGGATTACCGATTATTTTAAAACAAAACAAAACAAAACAAAAAACCTGCACCTGCTGGATGTGGTTGTGCAAGCCTGTCATCATAGCAGCTCAGGGGCTGAGGCAGGAGGACTAAGAGTTTAAAAGTTCAAAGCCAGCCTCAGTAACTTAGCAAGGACCTAAGCAGCTCATCAAGACCCCGTCTGTAAATAAGACTGGCTCAGTTAGTGCCCCTGAGTTCAATCCCCAGTACGAAAACAAAACAAAACAAAAAACCCTGCACTCATCTGCTCCAACTGCTGGCCGGGACACCTAATCAGAAGCTACTATCACACTCTGGTCCTGGGGGACTAGGCACATCAGTTCAAGTGTGGGCAGATAAGGGAAATAACAAGAAGGAAGAAAGGGTTTCTTGCTTGTCTGCCTCATCAGTTTTCCCTGTCAGCTGTGTGCTTGAGGGAGGGAGAGCATATATTTCATGGGGGGGAGGCTGCACCTCAATCACATGGGGGTGCACATTTGGTGGGCAGCACATCATCACCCATAGCACTGTCCTAACTTCCAGTCTGAGTATCAACTCTGGGTGCCAGGCACTGGCAAGATGCTTTACGCCACTCTCTAATCTCAAAATAACCCTGCAAGGTCAGTGTAGGGGTTTTGTTTGTTTCTGATCGGGCAATACACTTATAACTCAAGTGCAAGCATACAATAAAAAGCTCAATCACTCTCTTCTGCATTCCAGATCCTCTGCCCTCAGTCATTGATACTGGGTTCTTGTTAACCTACCCAGAGTGACTTTGTGCATGTACAAGACAAGTAAAATCTACCCAATTCTGTCTTCATACTGTGCACACTCTCACCTCTGCCTTCTCAGTCCATGATACATCTTGTAAATCTGTGTGGTCTAAAGACAGCTTCTTCCTCTTTTTCTAAAGCTGCCTTCAATTATGTGGATGTACTGTGGCTTACCGTGCAACCCCCACTGATTAACATCAATATCAGGATGAATACCCTTGAACACAGGGCAGTTTTCACATGTCTGTGAAATATACCTGCAGGATAAATTCCCAGTGCAGTGGCTAGGTCAAAAGGCATATACATTCATAAATTTTATAGGGACAAATTGCCTCCCATGGAGAATGAAACAATTTACATTCCCAACAGCAATGTCATCGAGCCTGTTTTCCTGCAGGAAGGTAGGTATTATTCTACAGAACACCTACCTGCCCACGAGGAAAGGAGCTCAGAAAGGTTAAGAAACTTGCCTGATATCCATTACCTTCATCTCCTCACTCAGCACTGAGTGATTATCCTGTGCCAGGCACTGATTTGGCATTAAACAAAATAGTCATCCCTTCCTATATGGAATTTATGTTCAACTGGAATGAGAAAATAAGTGAAATTTATGATTTAATGGTGTAAGTGCTTCGAAGAAACAAAAAAGCCACAGAGAGAAGATGAAGTGATGGAGGGAGGGGGTTGTAGTGACTTCAGTCTCCAACAAGAGAGCCAAGAATGGACTTTCCCTGATTGGGGGGCAGCTGAGCAAGAACTGGGAAGAGAGTAGAGAGAAAGTGTGAGGAAGTGCATCCATCCAGAGAGAACAACAACTCACAAGTGTCAGGTGTTGAGGTGGGAGCAAAGCAAGCCGAAGGGAGACTACAGAACCTGCTCTGACGAGGCAGATAGATCCTGTGCAGGTCACAGGATCCCACAGACAAACATCAAGTAGCTCTGAGACCAGCCTGGCAGGGCCACTCACAGGGTTTCTTAGGAAGAGGGTGACAGCTAGCTCAGACTCCACTGCCAGGGTGGGAAACACAATTCCAGGGTTAATTAATTTAAATTGTTTTAATTTAAATTTTTCTGGATTGTTACCTGGTTTGGGTTTAACGAAAGAGAAAGAGAACAGAAAGCATCTTTCTCCTGTCTTTCAAATTAAAAAACAGAAGTATCTGGAATATTTTCTTCAATTACACAGCCCAGCTACTGCAACATAAAATTATATTTTTGTTCCACAAAGCGTCTGGGCAAAAAAAGGCAAGACTCTTAGTTGGTAGTCAAATGTTGAGTAATGGGATTTCCTTGCTAGGCCTGAACTCTCCAGGATGAATGGGGACTTCAACTGGATGAGCATTCTGAAAAACTGTCCCTGAAGCAAAATGCCATCCCTCCAGGAGTTCTTGGGGAGAGATGTTGGGGGAGGGGGTGGGAGAGGCAGAAGCACAAAGACAAAGGCTCAGACAGAATAGTCCAGGGCGATGCAGTACTGGCCCTACAGGCCCTGTGTCTCTACTGTCTAAATCCCTGAAGCAGGAAGAGGGGACTGCTCTGGAATCCTGTGATGGGATTTAGGGGTGTGAAGCCCAGGCTCAGAGCTCAGGCTGTGACCCTGACCCTGAAGTCACATTGCTGACTTGAAGGAAGTGTGCTGTGAGTATAAAATACACACTGGATTCTGTATCTTCATTAGAAAGAAAGAATGTCAACTATCTTATCATAATTTTTATACTGGTTGTATATCAAAATAATATTTTGGATATTTGGATAAAATATAATGTATTCTTTTTTTGGTGGGGGGGCGGTTCCAGGGATTGAACTCAGGGCCCCTCAACCACTGAGCCACATCCCAGCCCCCTTTTTGTATTTTATTTAGAGACAGGGTCTCACTGAGTTGCTTAGTGCCTCGCCTTTTGCTGAGGCTTTGATCCTCCTATCTCAGCCTCCCAAGCTGCTGGGATTATAGGCATGTGCCACCACGCCTGGCTAAAAGATAATGTATTCTTTTTTCAAAAAAATTAAAAATTGGGGCTGGGGATGTGGCTCAAGCGGTAGGGCGCTCGCCCGG